CTCTCCCCTCCCCTTGCTTGTGCTCTCTCTCTCTCTCTCTCAAATAAATAAAATCTTAAAAAAAAAAAAAAGAATTAGCGCTCCTGTCACCCAGTTTCTGTGGAAGGGTAGGAGACTAACTGGAGTAGGTGCTTTGCTCCAAGTTGCAAAGATACTTCTTATCATAAAGATATGAGTTTATTTCTTCTCTGGATGAAGCTAGTCAGCTAGCACAGATGGTCATCCCAGTTCCCATGGTAAAGTTAGGATGACTGTGTGTGACTGTCGAGTTCTCTCATGTGAGGACTAGGTATGTGTCTCTCATGTTATAGATTGTATCTGCTTGGCTGTACAAAAAGGTGAGATTTTTTTTTTTTTTTTACCCCATCTCTGCAATCTCTTAGCAGATTGCCTGAGATGTGCACCACATTCTGACTTCATACCTCGTTAATAATAAAAGTGTTTTCCTTCTCTATTATCTCTGTGAGAGTCTTTTCTGGATTGGAGATCTTATTTTTAATTTTATTTCCCCAACACTAGGCACTGTGCTCCATTTGGTGGAGGTAAGAATGGCTAAGATACAGTCTCCAAGTTGCTGATAATGTGTAGTAGCAGAATATAAGAAAAGTTAGGGGAAACCGAAGGACTGGATCATTTCAGCTGAATCTTAAAGCTGGGGGGATCTTCCAGATAGACAAGTGTGGTGGTGGGAAGCAGGGGTGGGGGTATTGAAGCCAAAGGCACTGAGAGTCTGAACACAGGGACGTATCCCAGGACCAGGGCTCCGCAAAGGGAGTGTGAGGGAATATACTAGAAACAGACAGAAGTGAGGATGGTGGGATTAGAAGCAGCCGGCATGCTCCTGGAGTCTTCACAGAAGTCAAGTTTAGTCTGTGTGGAGGGTTCAGGAAAAGATGCAGAGAAATGACTGAGAAGGCAGAAGAGAGGTGAACAGAGGGTCCTCAGATTCCACGCTAAGAAACTGTAAGAAAATTATAAGACTTTGAAAGAGGGGGGAAATTACTGCCCTGTGCTAGTGCCCTGGCTAGCACACCCTTCAGAGCTACCTCCCCCTTTCATTGTTTGGCCAATACACAGCTCTGTAAGTTTGGGAGACTGATAGCAACGCGATGATCTTGTTTGCAGAAATAGAAACTGTCTGGTGGAAACGTGCCTGATAACTACCTGCGGTTAGGTACCAGTTTTGCCTTTGTCTGTACATTTCTAGAAGTTTCACATCCATGCCGGGGTCTGCTCATTGGGGTCTGCTCATTGCCATTGCTGAATAGGCAGGCACCGTGTGAACGTTCCACGGTCATCTCCTCCACTGTCGACGCACCCCTGGGTAGCCTCCAGCGTGGAGCCGCTGTGGACAGCACCGTCATGAACATTTGTACATGTGCATCTACATCTCCCACAGCATGGGATGCATTTTTAAAATGCAGATCCAAAAGCAGACCTACTGTGTGAATCCATGCCTCTGACGGTCAAAAACAGGCAACGATAATGCATATTGTTTAGGGATGCGTATCTAGGTGGTAGAAGTCTAAGGATGGGAGGGAAGTCAGGAAGGGACATAAGGGAAGCTGCTGGGGGCCAGCCTGGGTCTCTCCTGTAGCCTGGTTGGTGGTTCGGTGGGAAGTTGATTTATAAGGTGTTAACCTGCACACTGTTCTTTGAGTGTGCTGTATTTTCATAGTGAGCATAGGTTTAAGGAAAAGGACAAAGAGGGCCTGCAAATTTTTTTTTTTAATATTTAAAGATGGGTGCCTGGGTGGCTCAGTCAGTTGATTTTGGCTCAGGTCATGATCTTGGGGTTGTGAGATTGAGACCCACGTCAGGCTCTGCTCTCAGTGCGGAGTCTCTCTCTCTCAAATAAAAATAAGTAAGTAAGTAAATAAATAAATAAAGTCCTTGGGGCACCTGGGTGGCTCAGTGGGTTAAGCCTCTGCCTTCAGCTCAGGTCATGATATCAGGGTCCTGAGATCAAGCCCCGCATCGGGCTCTCTGCTCAGTGGGGAGCCTGCTTCCCCCCTCTCTCTGCCTGCCTCTCTGCCTGCTTGTGATCTCTGTCTGTCAAATAAATGGATAAAATCTTTAAAAATAAATAAATAAAATCTTTAAAAATATATATTTATAGAGATGTGCTATAGGTTTTCCTCCCTGCAAAGATACATAACCCAGTAGAGTTGCTCTTTGGCCAGATCAGAGGAGGGGGTGGTTGAGGCCTGACTGTGGCACCCCCTGGGATAACCAGGGCATTCTGAGTCTCCACTGAGGGCAGAGAGGATCAGGACTCAGCTGGAAGCCCCAGCCTTGGCGCTGCTGGGCAGCCGGTAAGGCAAGTCCTGGGAATCCCTGGACTGTGCTGCTGGGAATCTGAGCAAGTTCCCGGAAAAGCCAGCAGAGACCTGGCCTTGTGCCACTGTGGGCTCTACCTCCTCATAACAGTGACCCGTTGTGGGACAGCAGGAGATCCTGTCCCTGTCCAGCTCCACCGCTGTGGGTGCTGACTCTGGCCATCTTTAAGGGGGAAATCTTGGGGCCTGAGTAAAACAGGGGTAGCCAAGGACTCTGTTCCAGGTCAGAGGTCAAGCCGGGGATGGGGTAGCTGAATGTCCCAGACCCTGAGAAGGGAGGTCTTTGAGGCCAGTACCATACCTGATATTGCTGCCTTTCCACAGCCCGGTCAGGGTGGGAATGAGGGGTCTCCTGGAAGGGGGTGGGGTAGGGAATGGAAGCTGGTTCTGACCTGGCTGGGTTCTGGCATACCCCTTCTCCCTGCCCCTCACAACCTCATTTGAACGTCATTAACAGTCTAAAGGTGCACAAACCTGATCTTCAGCTTCCCACAATGACAACACATATTGTTTACTGAGCACCAAATATGGCCAGACAGTGTGGTCAGAACTGTACACACCTTGTCCTTAATACTCACAGATACAAAACCTATACCCATCACTTGGCTTCAGCGATGATCAACTCATGGCCAGTATTCATGTTAAAGCAGTACCTGAGGCTTAGCAAGGCAAGGGCAGAGCCAGAGCTTCATTATAAGCCAAGTTGCCTCTCCCACCCACAGAGAGAGTGACAATTGTGGAGCCTGGCTTCGGGGATGGTCGGCATGTGGCTGACACGCAGTTGGAGCTCCCTTCTGGGGGTATGAGCAAGACCCACATCCTGCCCGGCTCTTGAAACGTGTGAAATGAAGCCAAGCTAAGAGGCAAGCAAAGGGTGTAAATCCAAACCTGTGCACGTACACATGAATACGCGCACATGCACACACTCACACAGGGGTGCCCAGTTGTCACCTGGCTCCTCTTACAGAGCCCAGTCCCCTCCCAGGCACTCCCAGGCATGGGCTGAGCTGCCCCTATGCAACCCTGGAAGCCCGCAGAAGCTTCGTGGGCTTTCTTTCTTTCTTTCCTTTTGCCCTTTCTTTTTTTTCCCCTTCCTTCTTTCTCTTTCTTTTCTTTCTTCCTTCCTTTTTTTTCTTTTCCTTCCTTCCTTCCTTCCTTCCTTCCTTCCTTCCTTCCTTTTCTTTCTTTCTCTTCTGATTCTATTTATTTATTTGAGAGAGGAGAGAGAGAGCACACTGAGCAGGGGCAGGAACAGATGGGGAGGGAGAGCGACAAGCAGACTGCGCTGAGTTTGGAGCCCAACGCTAGGCTGGATCTCAGCGTCCTGAGATATGACCTGGGTCCAAACCAAGAATCAGAGGCTCAAGCGACTGAGCCCTGGGTGGGGAGGCATCAGGGGAAAATTTCTAGTCTGTTTCTCACACAATCCAGTCTTCTTTTCTCCTTTAGGTTCAACTTTTCTACCGTGAGTTTTCTACCTGAAGTATTTGAAAAAGAAAATAACCTTTTTGGGGGGAGGGGAAATCCTAAAACTCCCTGGCCTTTCTCTGAGTGCAGCTGAGAACCTACGGAGCAGAGACCGCAGAATCTGTGAGGCTGAGATGGCCAGATAAAGGTCAAGCAAGGAGAAATGACAGGTCTCATCAGTCCTCGCCTGGGACCTCCATGTAGTTCCTCCTCTGGTGCACCCATGAGTGCACACCATTTCTGAGCATGTGTCTGCTCAGAATCCCTGAGACTGTTTTCCCACAACACAAACCCTCGGAGCCCGAGTCCTCACAATGATTATAACAGCATATATTAATAGTGAACATCGAATTTGTGTTGGCAATTTATTCATTAAAATAGTTGTCATTGTAAATGCAATAGGTGCTCTTTATAAAAAGTGTAGGTGGCACCCAAAAAACCCCAACAACAACGACAACAAAGGGAAAAAGAGAAACAACACAGAAGCAAACGATCTACCATCCAACATCCCAGAATCAAACACAGCTGGCTTTCACCCGTTCCCGTGCAATTGCTCTGCATGTTTTTATATTTATATCAAGTGTAATTATATTTATATGTAAGATGGAAGTGCTATATTAAACATTTTTTATTATAAAAATTTCAAACATACACAAAAGCAGAGAGCACCCCCAGGCACGCCCCACACAGCTCCAATTAGCGGCTCATGGTCACGATTTCATCTATTCCCCACTCCGTGCTCTGCTAGATTATTTCAAAATAAATCCAGGTGTCGTACCATTTCACCCACGAACAGGTAAGTGTGAGTCTCCAAAAGGATAAGAACTCTTTTTAAACAAAATAATAACTTTGTTAGTATTTCTCACTTTAAGAAGTTACAAAATCCTCACTCTCACCTATATCCAATTTTAAATTATGCTTCTTTCAGGTAATACCTACCCATGAGCAGTTCTCCATGCCCCTAACATGTAATCACCGATGTTTCTAAAGGTATTTTGCATCGAAAAATCACCGATGGTCTCATCACCCGCTGCCTGCCACTCCTCAAGCCCCTTGGACATTAGGCTGCAACAGCTTTGGGAAAACGGTCTCTCTTAGCGTGGAAAGCAAACCAGCATCCATACCCACTGTGACCTCTGGCCACCATGCCCCGCCCCGCGAGCCCACAGGTGCTGGCAAGTTTTCTGTTCCTACCTGCGCAGGGCCTGGGAAGGAAACCTCCGGACGTGACAATCAACCACTCGGTCCCAAGGTCCCTGCCTCTGTCACAGAGTATTTCCTTTTCCCTCCCTCTGAGGGCATCTTTATTTGCAAAGTTAGCCAATAGTAGCGGTTTCCTATGAGGTAGACTATCTTTAGATGTTGCCGCAGGCAGGCTCAGAACTTCCCAGGCTGAAGGCCAGCTGATGGCAGGAGGGTTTAAACTCACAAGCCTGGAGGACAGAGCTGGAGGCAAACCCACCAGGCAAGCAACAATGTGGAGGCTGTGTTATTTGCCCCCTTTGGGGGAGGGCAGAGAATAGTGCAGTTCTCAGGAGCCACTAACACCCACTGAACCTCAGTTTTCCCGCCCGTAAAAAGGGGTCCACAGCACTCACCAGGCTGCACTGGGGTGCACAGTAAATGAACTGCAGCTTCTCTCTTCAGAGGACATATTTGGGAGCTTACTAGAAATGCAGCACCTCAGCCCCGCCACTGAATGAGACTCTGCATTTTGATGAAATTCTTAGGAAATTGATCAGTGCATGGATTTTGAGAAGGCTTGGCACAAAAAGGCTTTAGTGAGTACCTGGCACCTGGTAGGAGCTTCCAAATTTTTTACTCCTCACCTTCCTCCTCCAGGGCGTTTAGCACCTCCCTCTACCCTGTGGTCAAGCCTAAGGTATATGTCTCCAGGGCAAACTGGCGCAGGCTCGTTCCCCACTGTCTCCCACAGCCCGCGCTGCTCCGGCTGGATGGGGAGCAGCTAGCTGGACCCGACTCTTCTAGGCCAAGCTCCTGCTCCTGGCCCTGGCAGGCCTGTTGCCCCTCTGCAGCCCAAACCTCCACCACCACGGCCTCACTGACTTCCCACCGCTTCCTTACCCGCCTGGCTCCCTTATAAGGCAAACACTACTGATGGCCCCCTCCGCTGGGGCCCACCCTGGGTCTAGCACCCCCAGCACACCTTTATTAAAGGGTCAGGGGCCCCTCTAAGGCCCTCCTGGCTCCCTGCTGCATGTCTTGCAGCCTGTGCGCCAGCACCCCTGTGGTCCTCATAGCTGTGTTGAAGCAGGCAGGGCTGTCCTGTGTGCTCCCCACTTGGCCTCCTCAGTCCTGGTGGCCAGGACAGAGCTGTGAGTGGGACTGCAGTGGCCCAGGCTGGGTGACCTGCTGGCGTTAGAGGAAGTCTGCAGCCGGTTTCCCTTCCTTGTTTCCCTCTGGCCAGGAACCTGTAGTACCCCTCCCCCATGCCTGCCCTTCCTCATCTCTCCCCCACAGCCACCTGTCCCAGGGCCCACCCAGCAGGGCCAGCTGCTTCAGCCTCCCTTTGCCTGCCTGAGACTCCCCTCCTGCTTCTCTGAATACTCCTCTCTGGGATCCTGCCAAGACTCTCTCTCTTCCGGTCACACAGTCTTCCTGGACAACCTCGTCCACTGCACATCATTGACCACCTCTGTGTTCTGATTCCCTGTCTCCAGCCAGGGTCTGAATAACCTCCAGTGCCCATCTGTGTCCTTCACACCTCTTGCCCTTTACCCCATTGACCATTCTCCTCCATCTGGAAGCCAGAGAGCGCTTTCCCAAGTGCAAATGCCTGCCTAAACCCTCCGGAGTTTCCCCTCACTGTGAGTTTCAGTCCCAGGTTTGTAAGTGTGGCCTTGGCATGATCCCACCCCTTTGGATGTCCTAACCTGTTCTAACCACCCCACCCCCACCCCAAGTGCATGTGTGGGCTGCTCTTCCCTTCCCACCTTACCAGGCTGGGGGACCTGGCTTTGATTTCACTTCCTTGATGCTAACAGGCTTTTGCTGCCCTGTAGGAGCTGGTGGCAGAAAGGACTGTGACTCACAGCCCAACGAGTGGCATGCTTGTGCCGGTTCCCTGGCCTCCCAAATTCCAGAGGGACGTGCATGGTGGACCCAGATGGACGCTTGCACACAAAGGAGGTTGCATGATGAGAGAGAAACCGTGAGCTTGAGGAGCACACCATTTTATAGCCGGCAGTGAGCAAGCCTGCTCAATGGCCCTGACTGAGGGAGACATGACCTCATCCCTCAGGCTGCAGACACCACCATAAGAAATGGGCCAAGGAAAGGGCTGCTGGGGCTCTGCATTCTCGGTGTCCTCTGAGAGCTGGGAGATCAACAGCCTTCCCACTCAGGCCACACCTCTGCCGACCTCTGAAAAGGCCCCTCAGGTTCTACCCTGGGGACCTCCTCTCCCTGGACCCCTGTTCCTCCCTCCCCAGTGCTCCCATGCTGTGCTGCCTTGGGCCCATCTTCATCTCTCACTTTCACAGGCCCTTGGCTTCACCCTTTGTCTGAGCTGTTCCTTGTGAAGGATAACAGTGCATGAGCACCAAATATGTTGCGCGGCTATATCCATTATTGTGAGCTGTAGGTCCTCTAGAAGTAGCAAATACAGGGGGAGGCATTCTCTGACCTCTCCCTATCTGCCTCAAGACAGAGCCTCTCAAAGGAGCTTGGTTGTCACAGATCTTTCCCCCAGGAGCTTCAAGAACCAGGGATCATTGACATCTGTCACAAGAGAAGGAACTGTAAGTCCCCACCACACCCAGACACACTTGGTCACAAACCAACATACCTCCCATCTGTTCTTCTAAGGACCTGTTCCTTTTCCTACTAATCATTTACTCTCTCAGAAGAACAACCCCCACCCTTTCCTTAGGAAGCTGGTATTTAAGTCTGAATTCTAAGCCACTCTGAGGAAGCACTCATTTTTCTCTGCCTACCTCCCATGTATATACGACACATATGTGTTAATAACCTTTTTGTGTTTCTTTTGGCAATCTGTCTTTTATGACAACAGCCTCAGCCTAGAACTCAGAAGGGTAGAGGGAAAATTATTTTTCTTCCCTGACAGTTTCTGGTGACCCAGATGGGATCTCTGAGACACCTTACAGATGGGATTCTGGGAACACCAGCAAAAGCCAGTGAAGGATAAGAATTATTTGTCCTCCCCGTACTTGCTTGTACGTTCTTGTCACCCTCGGTTTCTCTTCCAGTTGAGATGGTAACTGCCTACCTACTGTAGCTTGATTTCTGTTGGGTGGAGGCGGAAGGGGTGCTGGGTGGGCTTCCAGGTAAGAGAAGCCGTGGGGATGGTGGGGACAGCCTGGCAGTGATGGGCACAGACACACAGATACACAGACACACAGACACACAAGGTAGGCGAGGACTGGACACTTAGTTTGAATAAAGCTCTGTGGGAGAGACCCAGCAAAAGGAAATGAGGATACAATTATGCCTTGAAGGCCAGGCTAAGATGTTCCTACTTTATGCTACAGGCTGAGGGGGGCTTTGGGGATAAGCACAGCAAACCTTTACACAGAATAGCAGACGTGTTAGGCAGCAAGCTAAGTCCTCTGTGCACAGGAGCTCACGTAACACAGTGACCCAGAAGCACCTATGACACACGTGAGGACACTGAGGGGAGGAGAGGTGACGAAACTTGCCCAAGGCCACAAAGCTCATAAGTGGCAGAGCCAGGATTGTGTTTAGCCTTTAGGCTTCCTGGTCTGTGCCACCTATCCTCGGGGGAGGGGCGGCGGGGGGGTGGCGGGGTGACATCGCTTCCCAGGGGGTGACCATTGATTCTTGCGCTTTGTGTCTACTGTGCCGATACACACACAGTCCATAAACAGATAGTATATCTGTGTTGTAAAAATCTCATGAGATGTGCTTAAGAATACAATGTGTAAAAAGACCTCCGCGGAGGACGATCATGGAAACAGGCTGAGAAACTGTTGTCTCTGCTCTTAATCAGACCACAGAGCTGTGTCTCGTGCTTAAAACCTGGGGTCAGGGAGTAACTGGACAAAAGCGACATCTTCAGAAAAACACACCAGTGATTGAGTGGACGTAAGGGGAAGCTGCTGGAGTAGAAGGGAAGGAGCAGAGGCATGTCAGGTGCTCCTTCATGCTGGGCACTGGGCTGCGTACATGGCCCGTGAGGTCTCCTTTTGATCTTCATCTTCATGTTTTCAGATGAGGAAATGAGGAGACAGGAGCAGTGAGTCCTCAGCCACCAGGGGGAAAAGGGCCGGGACAGGACTGGAACTTCCTGATTCTGAAAGCAAGCAGGGAGAGGGCCTTGGAGGGGGTGGAGGGCAGGGGAGGGTGACTTGGCTAATGGAGGGTGCACAGAATCGGTGAAAGATCTGGCCGATTTAGGAACAATGAGCAGCCGAGCAGCGGGGGGTCATTTTGCAGCCAGGAAGTCAGTATCATTACACAAGAAGGTTTCAGAAGCAGGAGGAGGTTCCTAGTTCTTCTTCCCCACCAAAGAGAAGAAGGACCAGATGTAGAAAATTGCGAAGGTAGAAAGAAATAAAGCTAAACAAAAGAAATGCTATTTACTTGTTCCCTCTGCCTTAATGTTTACATTTTAACACCACTGGTTGCAATTTCTTTGGCTTATTTCATAATTTCTGCTTAACAGGGACAAAAACATTCCTCTCTGGTGCAAAGGTAATGACCTAGCCAAGAGCTCCAGGAGCATTTTGGATAAAATATTTTTAGACATCATTAAATTATTTTCTTGGAAATATTAAAAAAATTCCACTCTGCTCCCTCCAAACATGGTGTGTTCCCAACCATGTAAGACTTATTAATGGAGAATAATGGAAAATGAACAAATGAACTGCCAACTTGAGTTATAAAAATATTTCCATTTTAACCCTTTGAACTATATAAGGAATTCAAATTAATTCCTAGATGTCTTTATATTGCTTTCTGATGTTCTGGAGGGTCTGCTTTAGGGAAAAAAATACAATAGCTGTCTTTCACAGGCAATGCTCTTAAACAGTTTTTTCATTGCTGCTGTCGGGATGGTCTAGGGCTCAACATCCAGGGGCAATAAAGTAGAGCTCCTGGGTTCCCATCATTGACCACCTATTGAAAATAAACTGTTGGGATCCCTGGGTGGCTCAGTCGGTTAGGCATTTGTCTGCCTTCCGGGCAGGTCATGATCCCGGGGTCCAGGGATGCCACTCAGTGGGGAGCCTGCTTCTCCCTCTCCTTCTGCCTGCTGCTCCCTCTGCTTGCTTGCTCTC